CAACGCCACTTCACCCACATTCTGATGGGATGGTAGAGAAGTACAACTGGACACTGGAACATGAACCGGCAAAGTTTTGTAATAGCCGTCAAGATGTCTTACTCCCTCCACTGTTGATGGCCTATAGGACAGGAGAGCATGAAGCCACTTGATACACTCCAGCAAAGTTGATGTTTGGTCGGGAACTTCGGTTGCCAGTGGATCTGTTAACAGGACGCCTACCTTATGAAGAGTTGCTTGTATAATCCCAGGAAGACCAAAGGGAAGTCTCCTAAGTTGTCTTCTCCATGGGAAGGCCCATATAACATAGTGGATCGTCTCTCAGACGTGACTTTTCGAATAAAATGTGGTCGGCGAGGTAAGCTAAAGGTGGTACATGCCAACAGGATTTGGCATTATCACGGTCCAGGACATTTCAGTTGGAACCAAGTGAACAACGAAACAGACGACGTGTCACTTGAAAAAGCCACTGTCAAAAAAAAATTCTACCCGGTTTTGAAAAGGGAAACAGTGAAGCCCTTAATGAAGCTACTACCACTGATGTGACTATTACCGATAATAGGACAATTCTCGATGGAGCAGATGAACTTCACGTGAAGCAGAAGCCAACGAGATGGAGACCAGTATGGAAGAAGATAGTCCCGTAAAATTAGGAGACTTCGTTGAATTTTAATTTTGTGTTTGTAAATTCTGTCCATTTAATTAAGATATTGTTAATTATCTATTGGTTTAATTTAAGTGGCTATTGTTCAGGACGAACAATACTAAGGAAGGGCAGTGTTATGACAGCGGAAGTCACGTGACGCTGGTAACACATAATGAGTATCTAGAACGTTCGTGAAGACTCGAGTGTTTGCCAGACGCCCTCTATTTTGTATATATATGACCGACAAGAAAAGACAAGGGAGAATAATTGCAGGCAGAGAGATATAGAGACAGATAATCGAGTCGAGCCGTAAGTAAAGTGCGTGAATCGTTGTGAATTCTAGCGTGTGTTGAAGTTAAAGCGACTGTAGAAATTAAGTGTATTGCAAAGTAGTATTGAGAAATAATAAACTAGTTTTATTTAAAAAAGGACTTGTATGGATGAAGTTTTTCGGAAGGAATTTTTATGGGAAATTAACAATCGACCAGAGACGTAACAATATAACCAAATGATGGTTTTGAACAATGTAAAACTATATAGCTGGGTTGGTACTGTTTGCGTGATCAGGAAAGAGGTAATTGTGTCTTGTGAGAAGGCCAGATGATAAAGTGATAAAGATATAAATAATGTGAAACAAGCAGACAGACAATAGCAGAATAGAGTAAATTTACGTGCAAAGAAAAGTTTGGCATGAAGTTAACTATCGTAGAAGTGATAAGCCTAACGACTGACATAGGCATAACGTTTAATATTGTTACGTCTCCGTTCGTTAGTTAATTTTCCGTAAATTCGTTCCGACGAAACTTTAGCGACACAAGTCCTTTCTTAAATAAAACTGGTTTATTCTTTCTGAAT